TTATACTTATTGTTTTATATTTATAATGACAGTTTCTATATCCTATAGGTCTTTGACCTTGTATGGATTAATGGAATGTAATTAAATAATAATAATAATAAAAGTGCAAACCTAATGATAGTACATGGATAAAAGTCAAGATCTAGTCTCAAGATTTTAAAATTAATACAAACAAACTATTTGTAGATATAAATGAGTGGTTCAAAACTAATTACAGTACCTACAATCGAAGACTAAAAATTGTGTAGAAAATAATATAACAGCAAACCACAGAAATAAGCATATTATTAACACTTTATGCACTAAGTTTCTTGAGTCTGCTTATTAACGAAACATTATCATGGAAATGTCATATTGACCAATTGGTAACTCAGATGAGTTCTGCCTGTTATGCTGTTAGGATTATAAAGGATCTTAAAAGTAAGTAAAAAAAAGTAAAGGTATCCCTCTAACAGGCTGTGGAGGCCCATAGGGTTGTGAGATGTTGAGGTTCTCACATTTTCTAGACAATCTCATAGATGGCAGCAAGGTTGTCAGCCCTATGCCCCAGCCGCCCTTTACCCCCATGAATATTCCAATAATATTCCTGGTACTTATTTCTGTTAGAGACAGAGTTGACCCCAGAGCCAAAATGTGGCTGGAAGGATTAGGTCAATTGAAAAAAATCCAATGACCTCATCGGGACTTGAACCCGCCACCTTCCGGATTGTAGTATAGTGCCTCAACCAACTACTCTACCGCGTGATCTTATAACACAGAAACAACTATGGATGATCTATTTTTCCTATATACCTTCGGTTTTGATATATGATATAATTTTCTGGAGTACGTAGCTGCACAGTATTAATATTGTGACGTGTTGCGCAATGGAGGACAACCCCTCACCCCACCAGCGGTGACATAACCCTTTCGGAGCGTTGCCGTCGCTATGGTAATAAGCCAGTCAACACCCCGCCTCTCCCTGCAGTGACATAACACGGGATGCCGCTGTTGCTACACAGCAGGAAACAACTCCCGACAGCGTTGCTAGCAACACGGTGCCAGACAAGAGTGGTGCCTATTATGTGGCTGTTTTCTGTGTTGTCCGGAACGAGGCTAAATAAGGAGCAGTGAAGACTATTCACAGTTAGTTCTCAAGGCAGCGGTTCTCAAGTTACGAGTTAGCTAGCAGTGTGTCAGTTAACCAGTCAATATGTGTCTGTTTCGTCGGAGTATTTGTGATACTGCCAGTGGCAGTAATTGTCAGATTGTAAATTGTGTGACTGTAAGAGCGAATGTGCAATAAAATTCGCTATATCCAATAATGCATGAAGTTATTTGTCGCGTTATACACCCAACACATGACAATATTTTCAAGATCGAAAAGCATATAATCAGAATTATAATGAATGCAAAAACTAGAGTTTCTTGTAGGTCACTGTTTAGAGACCTAAATATCTTACCTCTGCATTCACAATATGCATTTTATTTATCATCATCTGTTATAAAAAATAAAGACCAAAATAAATCTGATCAAGGGATTCACAGTATACATACTACATATAGTATGAAAATTATACCTACCAACATCAAATTTGGCAGTTTATCAAAGGGGGCATACTGTTATGGAATTGTAATATCTAATCATCTTCTACCTAAAAAAACTAAGGAATTAAGTGAGACTATTTAAACAGGTCCTAAAGAGGTTTCTTCTTTATAATTCATTTTATTCCTTAGATGAATATTTTGGCACTAACTTCACCAACCAGCAGCGGTCGCTCGGTCGGTATAGTTCACTTGTGGACTAAAACCATGGAGTTTGTCTTTTTTGTTTAGATGAATATTTTAATTGTAATTTTAAGTAATATAATTACTATTGCTTATTTTACATATAATAACCATGTTTTAATTGTAGTTATATGTAATTGTGCCTTTGTGTATTATGTATTCAACCATTTTATGACTCTTATTGTTTTTCGACAATTTCCATATCCATGGTTTCTGTAACCGAGTTAGGATCTACAGAATATGAATAAATGATGATGATTATGATGTTGACAGGCAAGGCTTATAGAACCTATTGAACCTGTAAAGGCATGTTTTGGAGAACTTAGGGACTGAGACCAAAGGTGTCACATTGAATGTAGACCATGCTGTAAGACCCATAATTACGTATGCTGCCACTATGTGGTGACCTGAGGTAAAAATTAAAAACAGCGGAGCTGAACTTAGTGAACTCCAGAGGCTGGCGTGGAATATTACTGGAGCAATGGAGACAGCTCCTACAGATATAATTGAGGTCCATCTTGGATATCCCCATTGGCCTTATAGGCAGACGTTGAGGCCAGAGCAGGTATACATAGACTCTATTGCAGTGAACAATATAAACCAAAATCTGACGGATATGAGAATGCAGAAATGTATACCATCAAGGCATATGAAATGGAGAATTTAAAATAGAAACATCTATATTCTGTGTAAGATTTGAGGCTTTCACGGCGGTGACTATGAAGAAAGCAGTCTTCTGGGATTTGGCACCGTGTATATGTGGTGTTAACCGACGTTTCAGAGGAACGTATCGCCTCCATCTTCAGGGTAGAAGGAAACCCCCACCGGGATATGACACCAGATCCAGAAGGCCACACAGGCCATGACCAACCAACATAACAACCACCCCCACCCCCCTCAGCTTACGGATTAGTGCCCAGCCTTTAACCTTGCCTTTCTCTCCCCTACACAAAAACCACGCTTGTCCCAGCTCCCTTCCCCTACCCCTCCCACACTACTGCTTTCACTTGTATACTTGCCCTTCCCCCTTCTCCCTCACTGCTCTCACATAGCTGTGCATATTTTCTACACAGTCTGCTTTTACCGGTTCTCACGGTCTCTTTGCTTGCAGATTTCTTATATATTTTTTCTTCTACCCTGAAGATGGAGGCGATACGTTCCTCCGAAACGTCGGTTAACACCACATATACACGGTGCCAAATCCCAGAAGACTGCTTTCTTCATCTATATTCTGACAGTCAGGCCATGACTAAAGCACTTGACAGCTACCCGATCAACTCAAAACTGGTTTAGGACTGCCTTGAGGCACTTGCAAAACTGGCTGAATGTAACAGAGTTCAAATGATACAGGTTCTGGATCACAGAGGTATTGTATGCAATGAAATTGCTGGTCAACTAGCAAGATTAGGGTTTGAACGTCCTTTTATAGGGCCTGAACCAGCATGAGACATCTCATTAGGGGTTGCCAAGAAGGCTGTGAGGGAATGGATAAATAGGGACCACAGAAAAAGTTTAGGAGACCTTATCAAGAATTGAACATGCATAGGGTTTCCTAAATAGATCCTCTGCCAAAAAATGAAGAAACTACTGAGACCAGATGTTGGTTAATGTGGGTGACATGACTACTTACAGGACTCTGTCACCTGAAAGGAAACCTTTTAAAATTGAGATAGCCCAACAATCTTGCTCGTGCTAGATTCTTTGAAAGAGGTGAATCGGCTTCACATACCCTGTATGATTGTGAGGCTATAGCTTTCATCACCAGGGACACTACTTTATGGAACCTGGTGGCTATTAAGACCCCCGTTTAAGGAAGATACTACACTTCGGGCTAAAAAAGTCACTGACAGTGATGGTGTAAGTGTAGGTTAAGGCTCATCCCTTATCCATTCATGCATTCATTCAATGATATCACTATAGATGAATTTCTAGGAGTTAAAGATTTTTCATCTTTCAGGATATGACGCCATCAAATTTGGTACAAAGGTTTTGGAGAAATGTGCTTCCTCCATCTTCTGTCCTAAATACTGAGACAGCACATGCTAGGAAAGAATCAATTTATGTAGAGAATTACATGGTGTTACACCCATTAGAATATCAGTCTTCACATGGTCTTAAACAAGGAGATTCTTTATCGCCACTCCTTTTCAACTTTGCCTTGGAATATGCAATTAGGAAGGTCCAGGGAAACCAGGTTGGACTGAAATTAAATGGGACACATCAGCTGTTGGTCTACACCGATGATGTGAATCTACTGGGTGATAATGTAGATGCCATAAAGAAAAACACACAAACTTTAATTGACGCAAGTAAAGAGGTTGGTCTAGAAGTAAACACAGAGAAAACTAAGTATATGTTACTGTCTCGTCACCAAAATGCAGGGCAAAATCATGACATAAAGATAGGAAACAGATGTTTTGAAAATGTGGCACAGTTCATATATGTATTTGTAAACAACGATAACAGAACGAAACCTGATTCAGGAAGAAATTAAGAGGTGATTGAACTCAGGTAATGCTTGCTACCATTCAGTCCAGAACCTTGTCTTCTTGTCTATTGTCCAAAAACATAGAAATCAGAATATACAAAACTATAATTTTGCCTGTGGTTCTGTATGGGTGTGAAATTTGGTCTGTGACATTAAGGGAGGAATATAGACTGAGGGTGTTTCAGAACAGGGTGTTGAGAATATTTGTACCGAAGAGAGATGAAGTGACAAGAGGTTGGAGAAAACCGCATAATGAGGAGCTTCATAACTTGTACTCTTCTCCAAGTATAATTAGAATGATCAAGTCAAGGAGGATGAGGTGGGCAGGTCATGTAGCACGAATGGGAGAGATGAGAAATGCGTATAGGATATTGGTGGGGAAGCCAGAAGGACAGGGACCACAGGGAAGACCAAGACGTAGGTGGGTGGGCAATATTAGAATGGATCTTAGAGAGATATGATGGGATGGTATGGATTGGATAGATCTGGCTCTGGATATGGACCATTGGAGGGCTCTTGTGAACACGGTAATGAACCTTCGGGTTCCATAAAATGCTGAGAAATTCTTGAGTAGCTGTAGAATTGGCGGCTCCTCCAGAAGAGTTCAGCTCCATGAGTACCCATGAGTAAGTAAGTGACCGCCATGTTAAGTTTAAATTTCTAGACGTTGTCACCCATTCGTTTGACGTAACCGGAAGAGTATCGCAGAGCGGAAATGAATATTCTAACCAATGACATTTCGCCATCTGGTTGGTGTGTTGCATCCACTGTTCGTCTGAAACGTCTGAAATATGACGTGAGAAGAAAGAGGGCGAGACGAATGCGGTACTTTTCTTGCCAGTATTTTCGCGAGGTAAGGCTGTGAATTTTTCTTTACTAAAACGAATAGCACAAAATACATACTATGTACCAGGCAGAACGTTTATCGCGTAAAGTGCGTCTTGTGTATAACGTTTGTTACCGGTTTATCGAGGAATAGGAGACGATTCAGAGTAGTATTGGAAGAAATCCTTTTGGCTCATGCATTTTACTTCGTAGATGAATTTATATTACTATGTAATGGCAGTAGACTAAAATCAAGATCTCAGTTATAAACATGTATATAGTTAGTTGTGTGTATAGTTAACATCTGTTCTCTCAATTTATTGTACATTATTTTCTATGTCTGACTGTATTGTATGGATATGTGTATGGGCATTTTCCTGTATAGATCTAGAACTTGTATACAAAGTACTAAGATCTATTGCAGCATGTGTTCTTTGGAATACTCACCGTTAGGCATGTTACATGCGAAGTGGTTTTAACTTGTTCCGCATCAGAACATCAGGGTCAATGGAAGTATCTCTTTACTGAAGACAAATTAGTAATGACTTATGATCCTCATCAGAACACCAGGGTCCATGGAAGTATCTATTTACTGAAGACAAATTAGTAATGACTTATTTGTTATACATTTTGAACTTGTTCACAGTGCTTTTACTATTGATTTCTATTTTAAGTTATCTTCTAACAGAGTGGTACTTTTGTGTCCAGGTGCTTCAGAATTTTACTATGAAAAACCTAGCTTTGTATTCAACTGTTGCCGTTTTGCTGGCATTAGCAGATGCCACATATGGGCTGAAGAAAGAAGACTGTGAAGGTAACAATATTAAACATCAGGGATTTTGGAGCAGTACTGTTTTCCCCTCACACAACAACTAACTTCAGAGGCAGTTTATAACTGAAACTATCATAGGTGCTGAATATGCACTTAAGCAGAACAGGTTTCTTGAGATGCAGAAACCCTATTATGTGATGTAGAACAATATGATTTTACAGCTAGTGCTGAGTTTGTAGTAGGTAAAACTACAGTTCTTTTTTCTGATTATACACAGTTTATGATCTATCCAAAAATGTATCAAGTTTGTGCCTTATGAACCCTTCCCATGTTTCTGAAATTTACTGAAATTCTTTAGTTCTGTTCGCAGCCAGAACATCACGTTTTTCATGATCTTTCTTCAATCATATCAGCCCAAGATATGTTGCAGTTTTATAAAGTGCTGTTTATTTCTTAATATTATTGAAAGAATTTAGTTATTACTCACCAAATGTCAAAGTAATAATTTTATGTGGCTTCCAGTTTTAGATTGAGCAGTGTTGAATACAGAAGGTTTCTGAACTCAGCAAACCTTTTAGTTGCCACCATCAGCGTTAACAACTTACAATTCTGTCAGTGTGTTTGAAATTGATCCTGCCTTTTGCCTGTGTTCATGTTTTGTGTTCTGTGCCTGTAAATGTCGTGCTGTGTTGCAGTGTGTATGACTGTAGTGGAGAAGTTCGCCAACACACTAACGCCAGATGTCAGGTCAGACACTAAAAAGATAGAAGCTGAATTCCGGAAATTCTGCAAGACGTCAAAGAACAAGGAGAACAGATTTGTAAGTATCAGGTGCAACTTAGCAGTGTAATTAGTGGTATTCTCACTGTGTAAAACCGATTGTTTATGCCATTCTGAACTTCCTTACTGCATTATAGCAAACAGTTAACAATTTGAAATGAGCCAGGCTTCAATAAAATATTGTCACGTGTTGGGTGCATCACGCGACAAATAACTTCACGTGGGTCTCGGATTTAGCGACTCTTTATTGGACACTCCACCTTACACACTTTACAATTGTTATCACCTTAATAGTATTCTGCGGCGGCTATCTTCCAACTGTCCTGTATGGCGACTAGGTTCCAACTGTGCTCTATGAAGGCTAGATCTTAAATTTAAAATTTAGAGAGAATTTTAAAGGATTTTAAAATTATAACTAAAGATTTTATAGTGCTACTACAGGAAAATCAAAATTGATGTGTGCAAAATAATCTACATACCAGACAGATATCAACGAGGTAGATGTTGATAATAACGAAGAAAATAACAATGTGTTTTTAAATGTTAAATTTTAGACTGGGTTCAGTGTGGCAGCAATGTAAGAGTATACACCTGATGATGGCCGTTAGAGGCCGAAACATGTAGTATAGAAGAGAACAAGATCAAAGACATATAATATATATTGTTTGCACTTGGGACGGAGTTTGTATCATTTATCGTGTAGGGTGCAACAGGATGCTTAAATATAATATTTTTAAAAGATATTATACAAAAATTTTGCAAAGGATTGATAGTGGCCTATAAAATTACAATGAGTGAAAACTGACATCATTAATTTATTAGGACGGTGATGTATAAAATTAAGGCCGTTTTCAGGTTGACTTCATTGCTTCGATTGATTCGTCAGTTGTATACCTACCATTCCACACATTATTCATATACAGTATCTGCATTGGTCACATTTTAGCCAATGGGAAATATCTGTCACATGGCATTTTGTCAATATCAGCATAGTGTCACTTGAGATGTCGGTGTTTTGCTTAGTTTGTTGCAGTCGGAAGTTGAGAGTTTCTGTGACTGTATTCTATGTTAATTACCACATTTGCAATATAAAATTTTAAGGAAAACTTACTCATGACTTGTTAAGATAAAATTTGCATGTACTATTTCTTGGCACAGGCATAATTCCTGTGTCTTCCCCATCTTTCTGTAATGGCTAGTGCCATCTGTTATTGGTGGCGAGCTCAGTTTTTATTTATACATTTTATATCAAAACTATGAATAACAAGATTCACCAAAAAATAAAAATACAGTTGTTGTGTTTCTGGACATTATCCATCATCCTGTGTTTATATAAAACACAGTTTGGAGGCTGGGTTCTGTCTCCGTCTTTATGTGGAACCTACTCAATTGGCCCCAATCAATAGAGCTGGCCCCTATCTCCAGACACCTGCATTAACACAAGATAAGGTATACAAACCAAGCAGGCACAAATGATATGTGAGAGTTAAGACACATTAAGAAACTTCACACACATATGAAACAGGATGATGGATAATGTCCAGAAACACAACAGTTGTATTAATATACTATCACAAACTTTTAGATCTTAAAAAATGAAAGGAACTTCTGTGCATTAACTAACTGCTTGATTCAAACAAACAGGTCAATATTGCAAGAGCTGCAGGATACATATTTTTAAACTGTGTCTGAGAAATTAAACATATTTTGTAAACAGTTTTAATATGATAAATATCTAGTACTATACATCACACAATTTACATTTGACAGTGTTATTATCTGGGAGGTTTGGAAGACTCTGCTACAGGCATTCTTGGAGAGCTGTCAAAGCCACTTTCTTGGTCCATGCCTGCTGACAAAGTGTGTGAGAAATTGAAAAAGAAAGACTCTCAAATCTGTGACCTACGTTATGGTGAGTTGCTGTGGGGACTTAATATTTACCTTAAGTGTGAGATATTTAGAGTGAAATCCCAATTTAATAATTTTTGGAGGAAAATTGAATTTTGACACTAAATGCCATACTGTGCATGTTTGTGGTTGCCTTTCCATATTCCATTTTTTTACATTCACTAGTCTCAAGATTCCGTCAATTTTGGAATGTTGTTAGTGTTCAGGTCCAGTTCCTTTTCTGCTGCTCGACTAAAAATTACACATTAATTGCAAAATGTTGTTACATTATGTTAAACATTGTAACAAGTCAGTCATTTTTAGTGTTTTTGTTTTACAGGTACATTCAACTTTGATTTTACAAAATTGAAATTTTTATTAGTTTGTGACTTGAGACCGATTTGTGAAATGAAAAATGTTACATAGTCAAGTTTTTTCTTAATTCAGCTTTGGATTTCATGTAGACTTGTGAACTAAAATTTATATTCAGCCATAACTGTAAATTTAATGAAATATGAACTTCCAGAAGGCAATTTCTCAAGTGTGAAGAAGCTGACACTGATAGTAGGCAGTTCTGCTTGAATTTCAGTTTGGATCAAGTTTCATGCATATAGCTGACATTAGGAATTTGCTACAAGATCATTTGTAATTTTGCAGATAAAACCATAGATCTGCGAACAGTGGACCTGAAGAAGCTGAAGGTGCGGGATTTGAGGAAGATCCTGAGTGACTGGGATGAGACATGTGAGGGTTGCATAGAGAAGCTGGACTTCATTGCAAAAATAGAGGAGCTAAAGCCCCAATACATGTCACATCAGGAACTTTAGCATTATCATTGAGACACTTAATTGTCAGTGCTTCAAGGAAATAATGGGGGTGCAAAGTTTCTGTGCTAGAAACTGTATTTACATGTGGAATGATTCACCTTCTTGTTATAACAACTTTGGCATAGAATTGGCATGTAAAACAATATGTCTTTGTTGCTTAAGAAGTAATTGTTTACCATCGCAACAACTGAGACAGTGAATGTCCTATGGCCAAAAGAGATCAAAATTCGTATGGTTCAAAGCAGTTTTGGGATTCCATGAAAGTCATTTTGTCTTTAATCATCACAGATTTAATGGTACACAGTTTCACTACTCCATGTAGCATAGCTAAAGAATGCAAAGGTAAATATATATGAAACAGGTGTCTAATAAAAAATGAGTCTCTTTTTTTTCATGCAGGGATCTGTGTATTAGAAATGTGTAAAATAAAAATGCTCTTTGTAAGTTTGAGGCTCCTTTGTACTTCAGGTGTTTAACTTGTTCTTATCCATAGAGCCTGAGGAAGTGTACCATCACCATATAAAGAAACTGGGCTTTTCAAAATTATTGCCATAGAATCAGTTCAGGAAGTCCACCTTTGTATTCAATGCCCAATTTCTCAAATGTTATTATGTGTTACATAAAACGTTATTTTGTGTTCTAAAAATTGTTTGTAATCCTTTTTAACCCACTGAATTGAGAATAAGACAATTCATTTTTCCCTTAAAACCAGATGATAGGCTTGACTGATGTCTCACAGAAGTTTGATATTTAATTTATGTTATTTAATATAATGGTGATAAATTCCATACAAATATTTAAGTAGATGTTGATGAGAATTTGTCTACTTTAAAACTAGGATTTAATGGAAGGAACTGATAGTATTAAATGTAATGGATATCTGTTCAATAGTAGTGGGAATTTATCATATGTCAGGAGACTAACAACAGGCTGTTCTTGTCAGACTTTGAATTCAAATAAATGTGCATATTATATTCTGGTAATCAGAGCAGCTTTGTTCTGTTCATTATGTTTCATTTAATTTTGTGCTGCAGGAAGCCCAGTAAATATATAAATATATAGAAATTCTGTAAGAGGCTCTCAAGCATTTTTGTGTTTATAAAATTGGATGATGCTCATTAACGCTAGTAATACCAGCCCATGCCTGTAGTTAGTGCCTTGTAACTTTAGCCGCGTGGAAAGCTAAATGGTGTTGTGGAGCACATGAAGCTGTACGCTTTCTGTGGTGATGTTCAGAGGTACTCCCCGAGTGGAAAACATTGCCTCTGGAGACCAGGAGTAGATACACAATGTACCATACACCTGACCACACTCCAAGACTCTACATTCCAAACTGGTAGTACCCACACTGACGTAAGCTGATAAGACTGCTCCCCCAGCTCCGCGAGAGATGATATGACCCTTCTACCACAGCTAGAGTTCCGAGGAACTAACAGTACATATTCAGCATGTTGCTTTACTTAAATCTGTCACAGAATACACCCCAAAATCGTAACCATAAGTAATGCTCAACTGCTATGCAGGATAATATTTTCATGAGAAGTGAGATGAATAAGTAATATGTTAAAGACTAAAATAATTTATTTATGTGAGATCTCCTATATGACTTGTGAGTACATTTTTATAGCAAATGTTGCAAGAAGTGTTAGCCCTTTAAAGTTGGTCCTTATAGAATATGCCAGCTAAGGTAAACCATACTATTTCAAACTTAAACAGAAATTTGATTGTGAGAGGATGTTGAAAGTAAATACAGAATTGGAATAACATGTCTTGAGACCTTTATTGCTTGAAGGCCATTGAAGGTCTCTGTACATACTGGTAACAGGTTTGGATGTCATGATTCATGTTTCCCTGGCAGGCATAACTGTCTTGAGTGCAGCTTGCAACAGAATGGTTGGTTGGTTGGTAGTGCAAGGGTGCCAACACCACCATGCAGTGTTATGGCTTCAGTCTGTTTTTATTTTGAAGTAAGTGATTTGTGAACATATGTATACAAGTGAAACTTGTTAAAACTGCACTGTTGGCATCATTATAGTATTGATCGTTATGAGGTCACTGTTGTTGGCCTAAGAATTTACCATTTCACCTGTGAGTTTAGTTGTTCATGTTTGTGATTGTAGGCTACCAACTACATTGAAACCCCGCAGGACAGATGTCTATAATCATGCTATAGTAAGGTCCCTCAAAAACATCAGTTCAGTAACTAAATTTTGAAGTTCAAAGTTCATTCACCCTTATAATGAATACTAAAAGCCAAGTTGTCATGGGGTCTATGTTTTCTTGCAGCCATGTTTTATGTAACAGTTTGAAAATTTATGTCTTCATTTTTTGTCATCACGTTTGCTGCTTCTGATTTACATACAAACAGTTATTTTGTGTTCATTTACAACATGTGAATTAGCAAGGAGAGGTCAGTTACTAAACTCACCAACTACAAGAGTCTGCATATATGATCCTCACTGCACTGAAACAAGTCTTACTTATGATGCAGTCTATATACAGGAAGACATCCAGAAGTTTGGACTAATATTTTAGATTTGTAATAGCAGTGGCTAGCTACATTTGAGCATTTTCAGTTTCATTCAAAATAACCAACCCTTGCATATGTGGTCAAGGCACAGAAGTAGGTAAAGCCTTGTTGTAACTAGATAACTGAATGGAAATTTACAAATTTCTTGTTTTCAGTTAATTGCTTCAGGTTTTAGAAAATTTCTCACAGTTTCCAAGAAGTCAGAATTATTTGGTTGGTAGACAGGTCCAAAAGACTTGAACAGAATATGAATTTGCAGTACACTTGACTGATGGTGGATTAAATATTGGTTAAAGTTTCTTCAACTTAGCAGTGCTAATCATCATTAAAAGTACAATTTTTGGGATTTGACTTGATATCCATGTGTAACACTATTAGTCACTGTTATTGACTGAAATGTTAGTGCATGATGGAAACCTTGCTGGTCAGAAGAATAGTAAAGTTTTTAGTCTAGCTTTAATGACTGAGAATGTAATAAAAATTTCAGAACTAGCAGGACATATGGATATGTAAGGTTCAAAATGAAGCAGTAATCAGCTTCTGCTTTTTTTTTTTTTTTTTGCATAGATAAGGGTTTTGAAGTATCATGAATTGTAATGGCATGAGACAGTCTTCAAACAAAGTATGCCTGTACTGTAGCCCGTGTCTCTGGAAAATCTTGATATATATATGAAACTTACCCTTACATGCAATATAGTTGAACTGGCCATGGCTATTGAAACATTGTGTGAATAAGGTAGGAATCTGTTATACACAAATTTAGCTGCTGAGGGTATCAACTCCTGCAGTGTGTGTGTTTATACATGAGACATTAATATGCTGGTGTTTTGCAACAAAGAACAGAAAGTATGTGATTTCTATGTAAGGACCTTAAATAAGTTATTAAATAATAATGATGTTGGTACCTGTATCCCAGACTTTTATTCAAAATTGCATTGAAGTGAGTAGCAGTCTTCATATTAAGTACATCTGTGATTCAAATCTCAGTCCAGAGACCAGTTATCATAGTGAGATTTTTCTTGATATTCCTTAGTCCCACAAGTCAGTTGCTGGGATAGTACTTCAAGTTAAGTCATAATTGCTTACATCCATCTTCTAATTTGTTATTGACAAATCATTGTACACCATATAATTTAGGCCATTGAAGACATCTTTAAATAAACCAAGACAGGCTGTATCTTATGTTGGAAATGGCAGGTGCATAATGTGCTTGCAGAATGCATTATAAATGAAATTTGGAACTCAAGTATAATAGTCTGAGCTGTAGTTGTTAGGATGTACAAACTTGTTGATGGTACGTACTAAACATAAGGTAAAGCTATCCCTGTAACAGGCCATGGAGTGCTATAGGGTTGTAGACATTGAAGCTCCCACATTATCTAAATAATTGGCTTACAAATTGTAGTGAGGTTGTCAACCTTACATGCTGGCCATTCTTTACCCTCCGGGAAGATTTCTGATACTCATTCTGTTAGAGGTTGAGTCTGTCCCAGGACCATAATGCAGCTGGAAGGATTAGGTCAATTGAAAAAATCCAGTGACCTCGTCAGGAATCGAACCCACAACCTTCCAGAATGTAGGATAGTGTCTCAACCAATTATGCTACCGCATGCCAAATCAGTGCTCTGAGTGCTGTTGAGCTGAAGAGTAATTTTTTGCTCAGCAACTGTGTCTATGCCAAGATACCGCTGATACTCTGCACCCGTTTTTATTAAAGTAACAAAATATGGGGTACATAACATATAAGGTTGATAGCAGCATGTGGCCTGTTATATGGGCAGCACTGCTTAAAGTTTATCTTTCCCAATTTACTTTTGTGTGCCAGTGTTTTGCTGCAGTGTAAAAACGGAAGTTAATCCATGAGGTACTGCTCATATGGCCCACTAAACGTGAATGGTGAAAGCTTATGTTTATGGTTTGATCAGGAAGTCTGTAAAGCAATGGGCTGGATGATCAGGGTTCGATTCCTGGTGGGAACAAAAGATTTTTTCCTTCTGTACATTGTGCAGGCTGGTTCTCAGGCCTACCCAACTTCCCTTTGGTCCCTTTCATGGGGGAGGGAGTGGCACGAAGGTGACCACTCACCTGCATCTAGTGCCGAAATCAAGAATGGTGGAGCTATTCCTCCATTCACCCATACATTTTCATATCATGGTGCTTAATTAAGCACAGGGAAGACTAGCTTTTTTTTATGGCCAATCAGGTTTACTTAAAAACTGAAAATGATGCTAGTGGTAGAAAGAAGTGATGAAAAATATGTAAGAGACTGGAGGAAGAAGAAAGCAAGTAGCTGCAAAATCAGAGAGGTTTCCATGGCAAGAAAGCAAACTCTCATGAAACAGAAGAAAAGCTTTGTGAATACATAAGTGATCATTGACTATTTGGATGTGCAGTATCAATCAGAATGTGCCAGTTAAAGGTCTGAGTCTTAGTGAAAGAACACAAAGTGTAAGGTTTTAGGGCAATTCAATGAGGGATGTTGAAGCCTCTTGCAGGAAGCTGTATGTGTATTTGTAAAATAACAAATCCCCTAGTGGAAAGTGCTGGGCTGGGAAGTAAATAAAAACATCATGTTGGAATTTTGTATATGTGAGTTTTTGTTTTACCTTCAAACGATAAAAACAAACCCCAATTAACTGACATACCACTATGCATATCTGAGTTTATTTGCTTGTACTGGTGGCTACATGTTTCAGCTAATGAAACCATCATCAGGCAATACATGAGCAAGTCTTACGCTATTGAAATGTGCTTTCTATACGAATCCATACAGGTTTTTTTTTTTTGTGTATGTTAAGAATAAAGTGACAATACAGTATGCTTCTCTCACTTTTACTATTCAAAATTATATGCACAAATTAAGTGGTTCTATACTGAACCTAAACTTGTTTAAAATGTATAAAACAAGCATTTAAACTTATTACAATCTTAAAATAGTAACAGTAACAGTATGTCAAACGCTTTAATATTATTAAAATGCTAAAATATTAAGCTTATAAAAATATGGTCTGGATATTTTCTCATCTTCAGTTTAAATAAGGGCGTATCAGACTTGTTATTGTTCATGACTGTATTTCAGTTTGTTGACTATTGATTAAAAAATGTGTATATGATGTAACTGTCCTCCCTTATGTTGTTTATAATGATGACACTTGGTGTTGGGTCATAGTTGGGGGTATGTTGAGCTATAATAATTATATGGGTTACTTCTTATTCTTCAACAGTCTGAACTGACCAAAATTAGTTTATGTATTGCTTGATGATGGCTCCATGAGCCGAAACACTGTACAACAAAATAAACTCAGATATGCACAGTGGAATGTGAGTTAGTTATTTGGTGTTTGTTTTTGTTGTGTTTGACAGGAAAAATCAAGAGACACACACACANGCCCACTGGGGCTGTAGTGCCAAGTTAAAGTATACATAATATATATGTATATATATTTTATGTATACTTTAACTTGGCACATGTGCTTTAATACACAACAATTTCACATGAATTTTTTTTATTTCTTTGAAAAAATGTCATGTACAGCTTATTCAAGTATGTGGGTTATTCAAGATCCAGAGGTCCGAGTTCGATTCCCGGCGCTACCACACTTTCTGAGAAGTAGTACGTCTGGAACGGGGTCCACTCAGCCTCGTGAGGATAATTGAGGAGCTCTTTCAAAGAAATAGCGGCTCTGGTCTAGAAAACAGAAATTAATGGCCCTGAGGATTCGTTGCGCTGACCACGTGACACCCTCTATCTGCTAAAGTTGTCACTAACTTCGCCGGCAAGCGGCGGTCAATCGGTCGGTATAGTTCGTTTGTGGACTAAAACCACGGAGTTTGTTTATTTTGTTTGTTGATACATGGTGCTATATATACTTACTTATGTAGCTGAGCCCTTCTTGAGAAGCCAAATATGCAGCTTCTCAAGAATTTCCCAACATTCTATGGAACCCGAAGGTTCATTACTGTGTTCATAAGAGCCCTCCACTGGTCCCTATCCTGAGCCAGATCTATCCAATCCATACTGTCCCATCCTATCTCTGTAAGATCCATTTTAATATTGTCCACCCTCCTACAGCTTGGTCTTTCCACTGGTTTCTCTTTCCTTCTGGCCTTCCCACCAATGTCCTATATGCATTCCTCTTCCCCCCATTCGTGCTACATGCCCTGCTCACCTCATCCTCCTTGCCTATGCTATATATGTATATGGAATTAAAAAGTATAAGTAGTCAATTGTTAGTTTAGATTAAAGTAAAGTGAAGTAAAACTATCCCTGTAACAGGCTGTGGAGGCCCATAGGGTTGTGAGATGTTGAGGTTCCCACATTTTCTAGACAGTCGACTCATAGATGGCTGCAAAGTTGTCAGCCCTATGCGCTGGCCTCCCTTTATCCCCAAGAATATTCCTGGTACTCATTTCTGTTAGATGCTGGGTCGACCCCAGAGCCATAGTGCGGCTGGAAGGATTAGGTCAATTGAAAAAAAATCCAGTGACCTCATCGGGACTTGAACCTGTGACCTTCCCAACTTAATTAGGCCGAAGGTAATATATTTTCTAAATTCAAGTATGAACAGAAAATTATATAGGACTACATTAATTGAAGAAATTAGGCATCCTGTGCATGACATTTCGCGATCCAGAGAGTATTCTTCATTGCACGAGTCATAGTTTGGAAGGAAATGGCAGTTATTGAGATGACAATATTGTAATTAACTGCCTCGAAAGATGAAACTGTACGAAACGAACACATCAGAATTACAGCCTTCTCAGTGTAGCATTTATTGCAATATTGGCACAGACTCGTCTGCGAAGCTATTCTTTCATTATCGACCCTTTGATAAATCCATAGCCGATTGATTGGCTAACTGGAAAATGGAAAAATCTGGGTAGCAGTACATAACACTAAACATACGTGTATCGTGACAGGATGACTGATAGGGATAGCCGTAGTTAGGCAACTGTTGGGTAAATAAATGACGATGCCCAACCCACTGCTAGACAATGGCCACCATAACAATTAGAGATATTGTGCAGACCTCTAGCACAGTACTTTTGTTGGGGAGATCAACTGGATCATATTTTTTCCCCCTCTCCAGATTCACTTCCATTGCAGTATATTTACGGTGATGTCGCCTCTTATTATTGTGATCCTTTGACGTGGGCTCCTCCCCCTCCTCGCTGCCAGATGATGCGCGTATAGTTCAAGAACAGTTATTTAACTCAAACAGCAATGTCCGTAATGTCTGTTGCAAGAACAGTGACGACATCAAACATGTCTACATTTACTAATGGGGAATTAGCAGACGTACATTTCGCATATGGTTTTTGCCCATGTAAATTCTCTCGCTGCACTGTGGGAATATAAACATCGATATCCGGACCGCAGACAACTGTACAAACTGTGTTTGGCACAATACTTAGTAATCTTGTAAACTGAAGTACTACGCTTGCGAGAGTGACTGTATTAGTCTAAGTAGGCTCGTCCACAGCCGGCCAGCCAGTACGAGAGGGGAATCGGCTTAGTTCAGCCCCGTCCAACGCGGCGCCCGTGGTATATTTTTCTGGCGCCCTCCGTAACCACATATAATTTAGCCGATTTTTAATATTAATTCAAATTGTAAGACAAGAGACATTTTTGAACGTCTGAGTACTGTTAAATATTTCCGAAAAATTTTATTATTATTATTGTTGTTGTTGTTGTTGTTATTATTATTATTATTATTATTATTATTATTATTATTATTATTAGTAGTAGTAGTAGTAGTAGTAGTAGTAGTAGTAGTAGTAGTAGTAGTAGTAGTAGTAGTAGTGTGTGGTGGCGCCCCGCACCTCCATAGGCATCAGTGAATTGTGCCCGAGTACATAAGAACGTTGGACAGCACTGGTTTAGTTTGTTACTAGCAGTCAGGGAGTTGTGGCATTCCGTGTTGCTCGCTATAACCCAAACAAAAAACATTATTCGTAATAGAATTGTGTGAACCACGGCATTGTTTAAGGAAAAAAAAAGCACAGTTATCCATAGTTACGGACGTGGAACAGCGTACAGTTCATATGGAAGTCAGTTTCAAAAGAGGCACTAAGTGAAATAACAGTTCCAGTGAAACGTGTTTGTGCTAGACCATTGGAATCAACTGGCAATTCGAAACAAATGCTAGCAAGAATCAGGATAGAAGGGAAGGCTACCGAAAATGCAGTAACAAGTCTTACTAGACACTGAGAAAATCATGGTCGAGGAAGAAGAGTTACATCTATAGACAGTTCCAATGAAGAAGTCATAAAAAGCATATTTAATTTCTATGCTACGCAAAACCAGAGGTCGATACTGAAATTGCTACTTATGGTCACCCACGAAAACATTAATTTTCGGGGGAGGGGGACATTGTCAAGGAAACCCCTGACACATTTTTGTGCATGAGATTGTCTATAATATTGTTCCTCTGTGAGATCTGATTGTTTAGGTGCTGTTTGTTTTGCGGATGGAAGAAAACTTAAGACAATTGACATTCATGGTTGAATGCAATGAAATTAGAGCTCTAAGAATGGCTTGCCTCAGGGCAAAACAGAAATACCGGCAGAAATTGAGATCAGTTTTATGTGTACATGAGGCGTGTACATATTGCTCGCATTACGCCGCAAGAATGGACTGACAGCAGTACAAGAGGTCATAGGGCTGCCGCACACCAACTGCGCCAAGACAAGCATCAAGACATGAGACAAAAGACGCAGTCTTGCTTCATTCGTGAATCAGATTCAAGTCCGCACACTGAGGTAGCACGTCTCTGCGTCTTATCACTTCTTCTCTAGTTGATGAGATGACGTCGTCCAGTGAGGAAGATATTTTAATGTACATGTGGCTTAAATTACGCAGAAGAAGGAAAAGGAAGTGGATTCATGACTTTAATGAGTCGTGTGCTCAACGTTTTAGCGCGAGACTTGTTAAACGATCCGGTGAAATTCCAGCCCGGGGACGAATAATTGTATTTTACCGGGAATTCCTCAACCGTCTGCACTATTTTAATATTTATGTGCTTTACACTCATGTCGATAACGTAAACTGGTGCTGTTCCTTGAGTACTGATGTCTGAGTCCTGACGCACAGGAAAGGAACGTGCCGAGTCTTGCTGCATGTGTCTGCAGCATGAAGCTGGCGTCAGCATCGTGACTCAGACCGGTGTGCGGCGGTTTTCATAATCTCATTCGTTTCAACTGTGCTCCTTTCTTTGCGTCTTGTCGCAGACATCGTGTCTTGACTGTTAACATGTGTTGACACATGCCGGTATGCTGCCTACCTTAAAGCTTCATTGAACAAAGGGCAGCGGCTAATATCGCCCAGTCAGATGAAGTTTATGAAATTAAAATTTAGTTAATGCAAAGGTATATGTTCAATACGATATGGGTAGCACCATACATAGGTGGACTGTTTCCTTACGCTCCTCTAATATTTAAATCAGGATCTAAGATTGGGGACTATCATGCATAAATGAATGCAGGAAATTTTGCGGGGTGATTTATGTACATGGCTGTATATGAACTGTTTTATGTAAAGTTAATCAGTGTGATACGCAATTAGTCAATAAGTTTATATTTAAATCTATGGGATCGGGGGAGGGGATATTTCTCTGCCAGTTATCTGAAATTATTGCAGTGCATCCAACCACAATATCCAGATTCCCGCAGCATCCGCTAATAGAAGATGTGACGAAAATTAAACTCTTTGAAATATTTAAACTGAAGAAACCAAGATTCAAGCCATTTACTATCGACAGTATTTTGAGGCAAGTAATCGGTATAGCGGCTGGCTACGGGCTGGACGACCAAGGTGTCGGAGTTCCATTCCTGATGGGGGCAAAAATTTTCACTTCTCCATGTTGTCGAGACCGGCTCTGGGGTGCACCCAGCCACCTATCCAGTGGGTGCGGGGGGCTCTTTCCCCGGTGGTAAAGCTGCCGGGGCGTGAAGCTGACCACTCATCTCCAACTAGTGTTGAGGTAAAAAAAAACGTAGGTCTATAAATCTGCTCCCTCCTACGTCTTCATGGCGTAGTGCTTAATTAGTTAAGCACATGGAAAACTTTTCCTTTTATAGGCAAGCTATTCTAGGTCTACTTCCCTACTATCCAGAGCTCAACTCGGTAGAAAAGAAAACGCTATCGTAAAGAACATGGTAACTGCAAAATGTAACTTTCAACCTAGATAACTCGAAAAAATTGGCAGACGACAAATTTTCGTTAAGTAAGACGAAGAATGGGCATCAGCGTGCAACCATATGAAAGAAATAAAGAATTGCATAGAGAATGAGCATGGATAACATTCTCGAGAATTTTTTCATAACGTCGGGTATTCGGATTCGTACACAAACCGGGAAGATGAAGACGTATGTGCAATACTTCCGCAATCATCGGACTCCGACTGAAGATATAATGTACCGACTTAGGAACACAAACGAATGTTTTTAGGAAGGCAGACCAACATTACTCATAGTATGCCTGCATCCTCTAGTTACCCGCCCCTACTCCCCTATTCTTATCGCACACCATGCTCGAAGCTCCCGCTTCCGAAGCCGGGCGTGAGCAGCCGTGCAAGTTCGTTAGTGATAGAAGGTCGCGTTTGTGTTGTTGTTTAGTGGCATATTCACATGTTGGCCACGGAGAAACACAGTTAAGGACGTTCAGGATGAGGGGAATGTGCTGGATATCGTACAAGTTAAATCACCAGCCGTCGCTTATCAGATTCCTTCCGCAATAGGACTTCCTCAAGTGCATTATGGCGTACTGTACGCGAGAATACGGATTGCATCGCCGTAATGCGTTTGAAGTGCGTAACTGGCCAAACAACAGACTTTCCACACAGATTGACCGGGCATGGAGGTCTGATCACCAGGCCTCCCATAAATTTTCGTTTGTTGGGTTGTTACAAGGGAAAAGTTTATGAGACCGAAGTTCGGAATTTTGACGATCTAATTAATTGCACTGAAGTGGCTGCTGCAGACACAGGAACCACAGAAATCTGCCAAGGCAATTAGTTACGTCAAGGGCACAATTCAATGTCGCTGTGAGGCGTGTGCGCAGGAGGACAGTACAAACATGTATTGTGATATATGTTCAGTGTGCTGACAAGTCCTCACCATATGATCAGAATGTACTCAAAGAAAGGTACTCAGAAATGAGGGTTGAAAAATGCTACAAAGTGCAGAATTTACTTCTCCCTTTAATTACAAATGGAGATCAAATGACAAATTACATTAAAAATAGTTTCTATTTGTACAAATGGACAATTGCAACAGTATGAAGAAACATAAGCAGAAGAATGTCATAACTTGATAATGGTGGCGAATAGAAAAATACTGAATTTACATTTTCAGCGCCTTAACCTTCCTAACAACTTCCTGAAGTAACTAGCTAGAGCAAGGCCGCATCATAGCTCAAGCTCTTTTTTTTTTTAAATTGGCCTAGTGAGGGGTGAGTCCAACTGGGTCCACTCGGCACGGTGGCCACTGATTGGCCTATTGTAGCCTGTCCTGGGTGATTATGATGATGGAGAATTTGGTGGAATGAAGATACCCACCGCGGTGGCCTGGGTTTGATCCCGGGTCTGGTCAAGTGGGATTTGTGGTGGACAAAGTGGCGCTGGGGTGGGTTTTTCTCCGAGTACTTCGGTTTTCCCTGCCAATCTTCATTCCACCAAATTATCCTTCATCATAATTACCCGGCTAGGCTACAATAGGCCAATCAGTGGCCGCCGTGCTGAGTGGACACAGTTGAACTCCACCCTCCACTAAGCGAATTAAAAAAAATCTCTAGAGCTGTGGATCACTCTGTGTATGTTGTAATGAACATAAATTCAACATGATGTTCAAGTATCATATCTGAATATTTATGTATAAGTACTCTATTTTGTATGTGATGAGTTTATCCAACCAACATGTAACCCCCCACCAAACAGTTGGGCCCAGAACAGAAAACAAGAAACAAAAGAACAGATCCAGTCGCGAAAGATTGTGTAGAGAGTATGACAACATGTCTCAGAGCTAGAGCTGGACAAAACAGGTCTTTACATGTATTGTCATTTGAAATTGATTTATTGCTTAAAAGTCCTGTATTCTGCCATATATCGCAGTGTAGTCAGTTTAAAGTTACCCGATGTTTTAGAGGAACATTTCTCCATCTTCAAGGACAGAGAATATGCCAAGTAAGAAACCTGCATGAAAGCAGGTGCAAGCAGTATATTCAGAAGCAGCATGAATAGTCATCCGTCAACTGAATTGTGTACTGCAAGTGAATAGATGCTGAAAGTGCATTGATACAGAGCACCAGAAAATAATAAATCAAGAAATTTCTCACTGGATGGGAGTCGTAAAATGTCTGATGGCTTTTCAGGATTCCTCAACAAATTTTTATAATAAAAAATGATGAAGTGATAGGTGAACATATGTGACATCATAAAAAGACTGAGAAGATCACTACTGTGGAATGAACAGTCATGGACAGTAAGGTGATGGAGCACATACAGATTAGGTTGAGAAAAGCCAAGAATTAGTGTATGCCCCATTGGATTGTACATCCTATGTAAGCTGTTTGAAAATGTGTCGTTTACTGTCAGATGTATTGCAAATATTGGGGATATGATTCAGATAGCAAATAATGGTATGGTATGCAGAAGGTTGGAACACAGGTATTCAGGCAAGGGTATTTGAGATGAATTACCAAGATTTATTTATACCTTGTGACTTTCATTTCCTCAATTTAATTGATTCTGCAGTAGCTCCATAATCGTTAAAAAATTCTGTCATAATTTTTGAAGCACTCCATGCTCTTTTATCCCTATATAGAAATCGTATGGCCTTCCTCTTGGTAATCAACTTGCTGTCAAAGCTGTGTAGACCATGTGATAGTGTTCGTTATCAAGTGAGATATTGAGGCATTTATGGACGTTGCAGAATTGTCTCAAATGAAGGCATGTATTAGGCACAAAATAAATTGCTTAGCATACCAAATGATAAAATTTCTGTGGTGTTGCACAATATTTCATTCTCTGTGATCTTCATCAGTAAGGCTATGCAGGAGATCACAATGAACATCATAACTGCTGCTACTTTCATGAAAAATGAATGGAATCCTGCAGGGATGTGAGATATGCATAGATGATTACCACTGTGAAAGAACTTGATGCTGATGTGACATTCCAAGAATGTCCCTAGTTTGTCCTGTGAGAAGAAAGAGTTTTTGTCTGAGGATCTTGATGAATGTTTCAGTCTAAAATAATATTCAGGTGGAAAATCGTGTGCCCTATAATATTTGGATGTTCTGCTGGATTTCATATTGAAGAGAGATTTAGGCAGCTTTGGAGATTTTTGTACATCCTGCTAAAGGTGCTTGTGAAAGACATGCAAGGATGTATGAGAAGCTCTCACAGGTGATAATTCTGACATTGAGGAGACAGGTCTGACTGTCTGAATGGAATATCTCTGTGACATTTTCCCTCCTGGAAAGGGTTTTCGACTGGTTGTCCTTCAGTTCATACAGGGTAATGAAGTAAGCAGTGACCTATCAGACATCTGGTTCTCCTAGCATTACCAGTTATAACTGTCAGTGTTGAGAAAAGCTCAAAGGTGCAGCTAATGAAAGTGTAGTTGGGTTTTGTACCGCCACAAAAAGAACATGGGTTTTTGACAGCGTTTTATTATACAGTAGTAAAAAACCCACTTTGTCGTCTGATGATGCCAAACCTGAACATTCGCATACACAGTAGGATGCAAAACATAAAAATAATGAAAGTATATTGCAGTCTGCCAGTGTGGAGAAGAGGGATGCATCGCTTGCCGTTAAAATTTGTTCACAAGCAACATCTTGGAAAGTTATGTTCTAGTTAATAACAAAGAATGTGCACATAAGCTGATCTCATTGAGTTTGGCTACAAAATTGTATAAATTTGTCAGTTGGTGGGAATAATACAGCAGGTCCTTTAAGACAGTGATTTTGCTAACCATGGATATGAAGTATCCACAGTTTTCTAATTTATCCAGTTTTGCCTGCCATAGTTTAATATGTGCCTTTGTATATTCATGGTTTTACTCTGAAAGGTATGCAGCTTGAATCATTGCTAAGAGACTGGCTATTTGACTGAGGTTTCTCACAATTTTCATCTTTTCAAGTAAAATGCTATGGAATAAGGTCACTGTTGGTTTCGTTCCAACCCAAGCCAGGTCACCAAGCATGATTTTACTTTCATCTGATATGACACTGGATGGCCTTTGCAGTTAATACAGTGGCATTAAATAATTTATGAACCGAACTAACTGAAGATGTTCATCACAAGCCAGTACTCATACCAAATTGTCAATTTTCAAAATTATTCTGTAGTTTTTATTCTGATTATGAATGTTTTTACCAATGTAGTACAAATCTTGATTGAATTAATGTCTGTGGTGTGTATTATCAAGATGAGTACATGTAATTGACCATCTGCATTTACCACAAGTTCTTTGAAGTTTGCTAGTAGATGTGTTCCAGCTTGTTCAACATCACTTGGATGATGGATTGTAACCACTAGTACTTGCATGACTTATAATGTATCATGTATCCCTTCCATATTGATGTTTGTCTTTGATTTAGTGCAAATGGTTAGCACTGTGTTTCGTATTTGGGAGGTTTCAGCTTCAAATGTGAGCTTGAAGACCTGTCTTGACTAAGAGTTTTCATGGATTTTCTCATTCCTGACACATAAATGCCCTGATAATTCCTTAAATTAAGCTCAATTATTTCCAATTCATTATTTACCAATTGTCTTGTGATCCAGCACTATTTAATATTAGTAATGAAAAGCATTGTTAAATAAACCAATAATATGCTACGGTGAGGACAAAATATATGGTGCTGCCTACTGTCAGCATGTCATTGCCCCTAATGTATATGTTCCTGCAGTGAACTTGACTGGCAATGTGAGTGCTGGTCTTGATCTCACACGTGATGTACATTACAGCTCTGTCACTTCCTTTGATCTGCGAGGATCCTGGGTGAAGGTACCAGTGAAGTACCATTCATCATGCAGCGCCTTCTCATTGTGGTAATATTGCTTATCCTCACATAACTGACCCTGAGGAGAGAACGTCAGCGTTCCTCTGCGTGGGAACATGGATGAGGCTGCAGTAACATCTGGCAAGTTGGCATGAGGTTTTGAGCCTGGTGGTTGGAAATTGTGCTGTGAACAATGAAACTGTAAGTTGTTTTTCTTTATTTAGCAATGTGTGTTTCAATATGTTTGTTTGTTTATTACCATGTTTACTATCGTGCATATCTATGTAGAAATAAATGCCTCTTTCAACTTAGAAAGTGGTAATGTCTTAAAATTTGAGTCAGTTTTCTGCATATCTAGTATAAACAAATCAAAAGCTGATGCTGTTTGTTCAAATCTGTATTGAACATTCACATAGATTCCACATGGAGTCTTATCCCTTTGCACAAACTCGCTAAGATAGTTCACTGAAATTTCTTTCATTTGAACTCCACGCACTCAGTTTACATATGCATTTATTTTATGTTTAAAATAAAATTCCCCTCCTCCCAAATTAAGGGTTAACTATTATAATAGTTAAATAATTATTTAAGTAATGAATAAAAGTGAAGTTCAGTTTTAGCCTAGTTTGCTTTCTTAAGGTGTACTTGAGATTTAACAGCTTACCAGATTTCTCTATCAGGTAGAGAAATAATTACAAATATTGTTTGGCTCACATGTTATTGTTTTTACATTTTACACAGAGTTGATCTTAATAAATGTTTCATATTTTTAAAGAACTCTCTTGTCATACATTATTTGAAGACTCTTCTGTGAATAACATGAATGTTGCTTCTACAAAAAAAGTTTCTGCAACCACTATGTTGACATTATTGTTAGCTGGAAATTAAAGAGTATGGAGATGAGTTGGTCTGCACTGGCATGCCATTTTGTACTATTTTCAATGAAAATTGGTCAGTTTGTTTTATTAGTCAATCTGGTCAGAGGCTCCTGCAGAAATACAGGAAACCCTTTTATCATGTACAAAGAGGTCATCTGAAAGCCTGCCACAAATCTGTCAGATGGTCTGGTGGTTGGGACACATGCTGCTTATGTCATGCTGCACTGTGTGTTTGGACTTGTGACATAGTTGACAGGCCAGTAGCCTATACACATTGCAGTTTCCAAACTTTGCCAAATAAGTCTTTGAATAGCTATCATGAAGCTAGCTTATGTGTTACATGCCTGTTGATTATAATTTTAAGGCCATGCTACTCATAAAAATTCATTCATATTGATTCTTGTGTCAAAGTCGCATGTGCAATTTACATGTCAAATCAAATATTCATTTATGATACCTGTGTGAGAAATAAGGAAAAGGTTCCAGCTTAAATACATAGGTTGGATAAAAAGTAGTGGCAACACCTCTACAGTTCTGAAATGACTATATTACCTGAGGTAAACACACTTACATTCCTTCAATATAATCGCCCCACATGTGCACCACCTTCTGCTAAATTTGTGGAAGGCATCGTACACCATCGGTGCGTCCACTTCTGTTGATGTCCAGCAGTGACCGCCCTACAGCATGAATAATCTCCTCTCTTGTGTTGTAACGTATCCCTCGCAGTGGTTCTTTCATTTTGACAAAGAGATCATAATCGCACGGACTCATATTGGGTGAGTATGGCTGATGTTGCAGTATCTCCCATCGCCAGCGGGGAAGGAGATCCTTGACAGGATCAGCAGTATGAGCCCTTGCATTGTCATGAAGGATGATGGGGTTAGTTGCCAACAAGTGTCATTGCTTTCTCCCGAGTGCTGGATGAAGATGATTATGCAGGAAATTGCAGTAGGAGGCAGCGTTCACTGTCTCTCATTTAGGTACAGTGTGATGCAGTATCACTCCATCACTGCCATATGCCATAATGAACATTGCCTTCGCCCTGTGTAGGGTGCACTTTTGTTGGACAAGGAGAGCCAGGATGCTTCCATTCATTTGATTGTCGCTTCAGGTGCGGTTTGTATGAGCAAGCCCAAGTTTCGTCCAGAGTGATGATCCTTCCAAGGAAGTTGTTACTTTCCCTCTGCCACTGGTCCAACAAGTCCTGTGCAATTGCATAACGTTGCCATTGTTGCACCTCAGACATTGTATGGGGTATCCAACGCGCTGCAATTTTGTGGAATCCTAGAATGTCGTGCAGAATGTGGAGCACGGTTTTGTGACATACGCCTACCTCAGCAGCTAACTCCCATGCAGCCCATCGAAGATCGACATCCAGCAAAAAAGCAAGAAGCTGAATTGTGTGGTTGTCAACATCGGGTCGTCCTGAACGACGGCTCTCCTGAATGGCATCCCTCCCTTCATGGAACAGTTTCACCCATCGTGCCACTGTGCGATATGGCAAGGAAGCATCACCACATGCTTCTCGCAGTCCCTGATAACAGTTTTGTGCACTATGACCTCGTGCAAATTCAATTTTTATTCAGGAGCATTCTTATTTCGTAAATATGTTGTTAGGGTGCTTGAACTGGGCTCCTGCATTTCAAGTTGACGCACAATATAACTCAATGAAACATAACCAGAGCCACTCACTGCACTATTTCAACTGAACTTCTGCTATCAGCTACAGATGGCGCTAGTGCCACCTGACGCACATCTTTCATGTTACAGCAGTGTTGCCACTACTTTTTATCCAACCCTTGTATTAGTATGTTACAGTTACAAATAAAAGCGATGAGTAAAAACAGCAGGGTCCATATGCATCATCTGCTGTATATGGGTAGGGTTTATTTGTGATTTAATGGCCTAGGGGTGTATTTATTGCATTGTTGGTTCAGTCACATGTTAAAAGATGACCTCCCTATTTATTTGGAAAGTGCATTCAATACTGAATCGCATAAAATGCAGAGGCAAACGATTTATGAAACAAGTGTATAAGAACATTGAAGTATGACTTACATTAAGAATGCCAGTATGTGACGGGGACATGGCTTCCTGAGTGGTGATGGTAGATGTTGCATCATAGCTTGCTGTGTCAGTTGTCCAAATTGGGTGCAACGTCTTTGATGGCTGAAGCATTTCAGAGGGCAGTAGCACTTATTACTAATGAAATATATGAAGCCAGAATATCTGTTGAAATTGGTGGTGTGTGACAAAATCTGGTATTAAGGGCAGGGGCAAATTTATCATCTATGTACGGCAAAATTGCAGGTATTCCAAAATGCAAAAAGGAATAATTAAAAAGCTCATAGTGTATGCCTCATCTCTCACCTGGGAAGTGGAAATACTGTTTCATTTATAATTCACACTTCCTCTTCACAGAATTTTGAATTAAGCATGTGATTTGTATGATGTTATGCGAAAGGGATCCATCATGAAAAATATCACTATCTTACCTGTTAGTGAAAATGAAACATTCTTTATGGGAAAACTGGATGATCGGTTAAAAAATGATACCCATTTTATTTTTGTTTAGAATTCATCATGTAGTTTCATTAGTCATTGAATGATGAACACATAATAGTTTTTAGCAAAGTAATACATCAGTAATCATTTTCACACATGTTCATTAATTTCGGATATCAGTCTTAGTGCCACACCAGTGTTTTTTGGCTCAGTACATTGTTTGTTTGTAGTTACAAGATCATATTGCAGATCAGGTGATTGTAATATAAAACAGAATTTTAACCATACTGAGTATGATATATTTCTGATCACACTTCACACTTTTTTATACTATTTACTAACCTTTCAGATTCTGGCGATGAAATAGTATGTGTGAAGTGTACAATGATTAACTTTTTCTTAATTTCACAAACAAATATGATTGTGTGAATTATGCAACAAAATATGATGCTTCAGATTATACACAGCACAGCATCAATCTTGCTTTAAATTTGTTTTGATGAATAGATCACTTTTAAATGATGTAATTAGGTGTAGAATTTTGGGATTTTCCATTTTCAGCCGAGTTTCAGTCTTTGTGTCTCATATCGATTGATGTGAGAATTTCTGCAAAGTGCTGTTAAATTTAAATTTCATTATCAGCAGAGTCTGTTCAGCTTACTCACTGTCTGTGATGTACTGTTCTGTGTAGATTTCATTTCATTCTTCTTGCAGCAGGCACAACGCCTTACAGTGACACAGCAGAAAGTGGTGATGCTTTCTAGAAAGACCATGGTTACCTGAAAGCAAGTAACAATGTGTCATAGGGAAATAACTTAGTTGCCATACTTTTTGTTTTATAGGAAATGAAGAGCATTGCAGTTATTTGTAAAAAAATGTATTATTTATGAAATCCACATTTCAGAAGTTCCCCCACCCCACCCCACACCTCACCCTTTGCATCCCGTGGATTTCTTGTGTGCATATACACGTAGTTACATTTGAGAGAAGAATGTTGGATAAAATTTGTATGAAGTTAATAGGAGTGTCATTCCCAGGTAATTAGTAGGTATATGATCAGTTCCATTGCTCTTCTTATAAATACATAAAATATGGTAATAGATTCCTTCTACTATAATTGATTTAATTTGTTATTTGTCAGTGTCAACCTTTGAGGAATTTACTGTTCTCTCTGTTATTTATTTCTTGTCTCTACAGTCCTTTAAGAACCTTGGCCTTCTTTATGACAGATGTTCATTCTTCTCTATTATTTGGCATTTGCCTCCATATTTTCACTTTTAGCTCACATACATAATTTTCCACATCTTGAGACATCAAGCTCTTGACCTAGTGATTTTTCCTTTACCTCATGGCTTGCTTTCAGCAATCTTTTATTCAGTATCTTCCATCCTGAATAAAGTGAACACATTATGGCTGTCAAGATGTAATAATTCTAATAATCTGTCCTTATTAATTTCTCTGACTATTCCATCTAGCATTCATTGGTAGGTTTCTTAACATGTTACAACATTTATCTTGTTCTGGAGAATTATTTGCCATTTTTTATGATCTTGGTGTCAATTTGTTCTTGTTCACTACTATTCCACTGAACACCATTGCACTGCCTCTCAAACTTGTATCATCACTGCCAGCTTGTTGCACTGCTTTCCCACAGATATGTCGTGGTACTTCTGGGTTCAGACTCAAATGTACTGTCTCTTGCCTCACAACTACTGTTTTATACAAGTTATATTTCTACAATAGTCCATGAGAGATGAGGTATACTGAAATCCTAGAACTTATGAGAAGAGGGGAGGGGAAGTCTTGAAAATTCGACAGCAGTATGCGTGCACTTGCAGAGATGTGTTTAGCCTTCCCCCATATACTCTGTGTGCGTGATACTATGTTGTTTTCTAAGGTGAGGTTCTTAGCCTCACACCAAATCCCCAGTCTGGAGCACCAGGGTTAAATTTGTCTAGCTCAGGCCTTTCAACCTGCCTAACTTAGGTGAACTTTCCAGAAGCCTTTGCTAGCATGACTGTACAGGTGACTGGGGTATGCAAATCTTTCTGACTGTGACCCAGGGGGAGGCACAAACCCCATGAAATTATAATACTAAATTGTCCCAGTTGTCATTCTGAAAGTGTTTTTTTTTTCAATGTGAGAAATTAGGAAGGAGGTCCTGAAGAGGGCAGTGTTAACTGAGCCTAATGACTTTGCTCAAGAACCAGATCATGAGAAGTCCTATGAGTGAGGCTTCCTGTGTTCTTTCAAGGAGTATGTGAGAGATTTCCATGGCAGGCAGAGGCCATCCTCCCTATTCATGTTGTTGGGGAGAAGTGCTATGGAGTGCTATCTCCTTCACTTCCTTGATGATGTCTTTCAGTGTTTCTGGATGTTGTAAGAATACTTATGTTCAGGAGTTGAATGCTGTATCCCAGGTTGATGCCATGCTCTGCCATGGTTGACATATTTGGATGACACAGGTGGGTCTGTGTTGATCTGGTCTGAGTTGAATAACTGGTCTACCCAGTGCAGAGCTGTCCACACTTGTTGGGGTTGCTGGTGTATTCAGTCCTAGGTAATCCTTGACCAGTGGAAGAATTCTGAAAATTCTCCTTATTGGGAAGCCAACCAAATAGATGTTTTGTCTGGATACCATGTTACTAATGTTATTGAAGATGGTTCTGAGTTGAAAGGTGACTGTGGCAGGCTTCTCACTGAATGGAATAACTCTTCTAGGAGTGTGGAGTTCTTAACAAATCTGCTGATTGCCATAGCTGGTCCATCGTGACCTTTAGAAACTCCAATTCATCATGAAGAATAACTTGTTCTCTCCCTGCTTTTGAATTGAAATCTTATTACAGAATGTTGGTGAATACACACTGTTGGCTCTTCAAGAAAGCTGTCTTTGGCATTATTGTTATTAGCCTTGGTTAAGGCATACACATTCAAAGCAATAATATTATACCAGTGACTTACTAGCATTTTATATGACATTCTGATGATAATAAACTCTTCCTCTTAACCTGTAACAGGAAGTCAGAGCTCTGAATTTTTGTAATTTTGGGTACCCATAGCAACAAATTGTTGGGCATTGCATGAATGTAAGTTAGTGGTAGGTCATGAATCAGTGAGCAGTCTTTTGTTTCTAATAAAGAATGGCTTTCTTCATGATGAGATAACCTTTATTAAATATAATTCCAACCTTATTATTTTAAGTTTACTGTTGATTTCTGTAGGCCGTATTTGAATAAACTGTATCCATCTCATGTTAATTTTATGCATTTTCAGCAACAAAATAATACTGTCATTCCTGATGTATATACAGTATATGTCTGTTGCCATTGGTACACCATACTAGGAAATGAATGAAACTATATTAGATATGACTTCAAACTCCACTGGAAGTGTATCTTCATAGAAGGCCTGTGTAGAATGGATGTACAATTACTTCAGTTTATCCAGATGTCTAAGAATTTATTCACTGTTGTGGTCGAAGTCATTATTTTCTTGGCATGAAATTTGTTTATTAATGTAATGTGTAGAATCTGTTGCAGATGTACTTGAAACTGACACCTCATAAATTAGTGATACAGTGCCCATAAGTTGTTTTTGAACACCAATGTTGTTATGGCCCAAATATGTGTGAGTCACGTTACTCTTTATTATAACAAACCTCACAACTGTACTGTTTCTTCTAAATATTTCCATTCTACTGTGAAAGTTATATTTATTTTATTAAGGCTTTTTCCCCTGGAATCAAACTATAATAAACAGGTTTCATATATTAATGGGGACACACAGTAGCGTAGTTGGTTGAGGCACTATGCTACAAACCAGAAGGTTACAGGATCGAACCCTGATGAGGTGGCTTTTTCAGTTTACCTAATCCTTCCAGCTGCACTATGCCCCTGAGGTCGACTCAACCTCTAATAGAAATGAGCATCAGGAATATTCCGCGGGGTAAAGGGCGGCAGGTGCTTAAGGCTGACAACCTCAAAGCCATCTGTGAGCCGATTGTCTAGAAAATGTGGCACCCTTGACCTATCACAACCCTATGGGCCTTCACGGCCTGTTGCAGGGATATCTTTACCTTTTTACCTTACCTTCATATATTAATATTTCCAGCTTACCATTGGTTTCAACAGTACATTTCCTAGTGTGAGAGAAAAGATGTCTGCAAATGATGGTTAGAATTTTTTTATACGTATAATCATTACTGCCATCCTCGTTCCACTGAGCACCTGTACACACACTAAATCTTGTATTTTGTTAATTCTCTTGTTATTGTTTTCAGTTAAGCAGACCCATAGAAGGACTTCATTTTCAAAGTTCAAAATTTCATATCACTGTATGTTGCTTAGGTTTTTCCAAATGATGCTTCCAGCTTCAAGACTCTGTATGACATCTTGCAACATGCCAGTTTTCTTTCTTGGTGCTGGAGAACTCTGTCTTATTGATTTGTCTATGACTGAGTATTCAATATATTCACAGACACCGTCCACATTTAGATGTCTCTTCCAGCCACAGTATTAGGACCCTGTGCCATGATAGCAAGATGGCCATTTAACGTGGGATGATATTTTAACCATTTCTAACATATTCAGTTAAATATTTGGCAGACCTAACCATTATTAAAATGAAAGTTGAGTTTCCCTGTACACAAACACAGAAAAACGCACACACACAAACTAAAGATCCATGCCTGAGTGGGATTCGAACCCACGATCCTGGTTTCTAAGTNATGAGCCAGGATAGCTCACTCAGTATAGTGCCAGTCTGTGTGCTGGATGGCTGGGCTTAATTCCATGCAGGGTGGGCAGTTTTTCACTACTCAGCTACTACTCCGGGGCCCACCCACCCATTTCCCTGGTGAGGTGGTAAACCAGGCAGGATATTAAGCTGACCACTCACCTTCATCTAGTGCCAAAGTCAAGAATGGTGGAGCTATATCTCCACTCCCACATACACCTTCATGACAGAGTGCTTAATTAGTTAAGTACAGGGACACCTATCCCTTTTTAAATGCATTGTGCTGTTTTTTTATACAAAATATGAGTATTGTGTTAAATAACAGTAAAGTAAGACTATTGTTATTTAACACAATACTCATATTTTGTATAAAAAAACAACTTTGCCTTAGAATATGCAATTAGGAAGGTCCAGGGAAGCCAGGTGGGACTGAAACTAAACGGGACACATCAGCTGTTGGTCTGTGCCGATGATGTGAATCTTTTTTTTTTCCTTGGCACTGCAGTCCCAGTGGGCCTAGGCCTACCTCCATGAACTTCTCCATTCACTTAGGTTTTTCTAAATCTTACACGTTCGGTAGGACTCCTTGGGCAGGTGGTCAGCTCATCGCAAGGCCTCTACCTGTACACAAACACAGAAAAACTCACACACACAAACTAAACATCCATGCCTGAGTGGGATTCAAACCCACGATCCTGGTCTAAGCGGGTGAAGACAGTACATGCCTTAGACCGCTCGGCTACCATGACCGGCTGATGTGAATCTACTGGGTGATAATGTGGATACCACAAAGAAAAACACACAAACTTTAATTGACACAAGTAAAGAGGTTGGTCTAGAAGTAAACACAGAGAAAACTAAGTATATGTTACTGTCTCGTCACCAAAATGCAGGGCAAAATCGTGACATAAAGATAGGAAACAGATGTTTTGAAAATGTGGCACAGTTCGGACATTTGGGAAGAACGATAACAGATCGAAACCTGATTCAGGAAGAAATTAAGAGGTGATTGAACTCAGGTAATGCTTGCTACCATTCAGTCCAGAACCTTCTGTCTTCTTGTCTATTGTCCAAAAACATAGAAATCAGAATATACAAAACTATAATTTTGCCTGTGGTTCTGTATGGGTGTGAAACTTGGTCTCTGACATTAAGGGAGGAACATAGACTAAGGGTGTTTGAGAACAGGGTGTTGAGAAGAATATTTGGACCGAAGAGGGATGAAGTGACAGGAGTTTGGAGAAAACTGCATAACGAGGAGCTTCACAGTTTGTACTGTTCTCCAACTATAATTTGAATGCTCAAGTCAAGGAGGATGAGGTGGGCAGGTCATGTAACACGAATGTGGGAGACGAGGAATGCGTATAGAATATTTGTGGGAAAGCCAGAAGAAAAGAGACCACAGGGAAGACCGAGGCATAGGTGGGTGGACAGTATTGGAATGGATCTTAGAGATAGAATGCAGTGGTATGGATTGGATAGATCTGGCTCAGGATAGAGACCAGTGGAGGGCTCTTGTGAACACGGTGATGAACCTTCGGCTTCCGTAAAATGCTGGGAACTCCTTGAGTAGCTGCCGTATTTGCGGCTCCTCAAGAAGGGCTCAGCTCCATGAGTAAGTAAGTAAGTAAGTAAGTAAGTAAGTAAGTAAGTAAGTAAAGTAAGACCATGGTGCAGTGTCCAACTTGAGAAATTGATAGTTATTTATCTGGTGAAGAAATTCATATTTTTATGAAACCTGAAGGTTCATTACTGTGTTTACAAATGTTCTACATCCTGAGTCAGTCAAAAGCATTTCATATTTTCTAAACCTTTTTTTTTTTGTTAGATTAATTTGAATATTAATATGAAATTATGCTTAGGGCTCTCAAGTGGTCTCTTAGCAGAAAGTTTGACAAGCAGAAGTTTGTATGTAATTCTTTATTTCCCTCTACATGCTACACCCATCATGCCCAACCAGAACATGCCTTATATATGCCACTTGACAATTTAGCAAATAACTAATTTCTTAGATTTAGTCACAAGACCGGTACCATTCTGCATAACATTGCAGTGTTGAAGTCACTAAAACTGGATTAGCTAGGTCATTGCATATGTCATAATATTCACATGCTTTGGAGATAAAAACGTGAATACAAAGAAGAAATGTGAGTAATCATAACACCTACACAAAATACCCAAGGTTGGCAATGAGGAAAACTTGAAGTGGTTGATACATTGTTCATTTACATTAACAAACACTCTGAGGCTTACTATTGTCACATGTATTAGTGACTGTAGACAGGGGTTTGGATTGGATGATTGGATTTATTGTGCCTTATGCATTCACACAGTTCGAGACTACAGGGAATACAGTGCTATCACTATTCTACACACTTTCAAGTTCACTGTCACTGTCACTTCAACTCACAAATGAAGTCATTTAGGCACAGTGTAATTCCTTTCATGCCATTTCTTTTCAATTGCTTTCAACTGCCATCTCCAGAACTTGACCCACTTTTCTTCTGACTACTGTTCTTTATTCTGTCATATCTTCTGACTGTGCCCTTATATAACCCCTCAGTACAGACCACAAGGAAAAAACTGTCTTCTCTTGTTAAGAATGCATGTGTACTGGTCTGTTACCTGAAATAGATGTCCTTCCATTTTTGTGTGTGAACGTGTTGTGAGCATGTGTTTACTGACTCATTCCCTAACAGTGGGTATATATGTCACACTATGCATATGGATGAGTGACTGATTAACTATTTAACAATATGTGAAGAAAATGTGTGGACCTAAAATGGATGAATTAAGTGAGCAATTTGGGATATTAGCATATGACAAAGACCTCATGATTTGTAAATGTAGCTTAGAATTGTTAGGATAGTGAGATAAATGAGACTCCATTGGACTGGGCATGTAGGATTATTAGGATAGTGAAATCAAGAATGGACTGGACATGTAGCTAAAGTGGGGGAGACAAGGAGTGCATACAGATGTTTGGCAGTGTAACCGATCTACCAACCCCAGCTGGATATAATTTAGTAGCATGTTTTGATCCAGGTAAATTAACATGTTTGATTAGGTTTACTTGTAACCTACAGCAAACGGACAAGGAGGTACATAGGTTATTCTTCCCCTGAAGAAGGAGTTTTAGCCCAAACTCTCGAATGAAAAAGACAAAAGAAAAACGACTGGTCAATGCAGATGCGAAGTGAAAGGGGCTTGGCTCTTTAGAAAGTCACACAAAATTTTACTTGTCTGAATCCTTTGAGAATACAATATGTGACAGTTTTGAACCCATAACTTAAAAGATGGGTGATCTCTCAGCCCAAGCCATGCGTAACCTTTGTCAAGCTACTGACAGGATTTACTTTAAGTCTTAGCCCCTAAATTCCCTGTAATACATAAATGGATTGGGGGAATACTTAATTAGTGTACTCCCATTTTTTGAAAATGCCCAATCTTCGTAATTTAGGGAGTTGACTTGTGGACTGAGAACTCCGAGGGTTTCGAGGAGAAGGCATTCTGCAAAAAGTGGTATTCCAGATCGCAAACCATTTGGACGTAAATTCAATCTAGTGCGGTAGTGGCGTCCACTATGGACACCAGTTTAATAAAATGTCTTGTGGAACAATGTGTGTGTGTGTGTGTGTGTTATAACAGGAGTTCTCACTTCCCTTCTTGCCTGATACCCTGCCAAACCGCCTGAGGACAGAATCTCAGCTCTACCGGTGGAACTAGCTACCCATGACTGCTACCCCCTTGTCAATACTTCACACCTTTCATAAATCTGTAAACTGATGGTAGCAGTTTACTGGCGGCCAAACAAAACCCATTACCCTAAAGATCAGAGGTGTGTAAGTATGATAAGTGAAGCAGGGTAAAGCCAGCTGTAGCCGTCACCTGTAGCAGTCCAGCAGTCAGTGACATAGACCAACATGAGAGGACGAGTAGAAGAACATGGCGCCCGACGAAGAGGCCACATGCAAAAACAATTATAATAACATGGCGGCAAACGTGTAGGCAAATTGGCAAACGATTATAATAAGATGGTGCACGACGTAAGGGCCCAGTGGGTCGATTGTAGCAGGAAAATGTGGAGAATTCCCATTTTTAATGTTGAAAAGAAGATGGGTTTATAACATTAAGATGGATCTTGGAGAGATTGCGTCATGAGGGTGGAACTGATATAAGTTCATATCTGATGGTGGGCTTTGATAGTAATAGTGTTGAAACTTCGACTTGTGTTACTGCAGGGCTAGTTTAGTTACTTGCATTTCTAGTTGCATACTGTCTAAGCAGCTGCCAAATCTCTTACAAACTGGCTGACAGGCTGAATGAGCACAATGACTGACAGTGGTAATATCGCCTGAAAGTTCAATGGTAGTAAGACAGTAGTTTGACATTGGCTGTAGTATGAGTATGAGGTACTACTGGAAAGTTCCTGGACTAGGTAAAAAAAGAAATGTTGACTTAACTTACTCAATTTTGGCTGCCATCTCCTTCAAAATGGTCTCCTTGAGAACGTATGCAGTGATTGCAACGTTTTTTTTCCACTCTTGAAAAGCACTGTGGAAGTCATTTTCTTTAATGCTGTTGAGTACTGCTTGTGATTCCCTTTGTGGTCAGTCACTGTTTTGAAACATCATCCCTTCAGTTTCATTTTCAATGTGGGAAACAAAGTGAAATCACAAGGGGCCAAGTCCGGTAAGTAGGGAGGAGGGGGAATGATAACCACGTTGTTGTTAGTCATAAACTCTATGGTTTTCAGGGACTAGTGGCTGGGTGTGTTGTGATGAAGGAGCAATGCAGCGCATGTTCAAATTTTCTGTTAAGATCTGCAAACTCCATAACTGACCCCAAAGGTGTCTGCAAGCTCATGGATTATTTGGCGATGGCCTTCATGGATGAGTTCTTGAATTTTTTAAACGTTCTCTGTCCTTTTTCTGGTGTTTGGCCGCCCTGAACATTTGTCATCTTCAACTGACATTCGACCTCCCTTGAAACGTAAATGCCATTCAAAAATCGGTGTCCAGCTTAAAGAATATTCTCCAAAAGCCTCAGGAATCATTTCAAGGGTTTTGGTAGTGGGTTTATCAAGCATTAGACAAAACTTGATGCAGACATGTTGCTCAATTTTGCCATCCATCGCAGACAAAATGAAATATGAAATTGAAAAAGCAGTCATATAAAAGCGCGCGGTATCACTTGGCAACCTGATGGAATAGGCTTGTGGAAGTGTAACTTTGGCCTCCCCTCTCGCCTTTTGTCGCCAAGGTAGTTACAATAACAGTCTGTGAATTTCCAACACCAATAAGTTCAACTTATTTCATGTCTTTACAACCTATTTTCCTTCTAAAACCTTACCTAATCAGCCTTCTTGATGATGTTCCTCTTCATGCACTTGTGCAGTTAAAACTGCATGTGCATAAAAAGTGGAACACCCTACAGATGTTATTTATTGTCCATGACAATTTTAGTTTGATCAGATTACAAATTCTAAAAGGGCCCTTACATTTTCTTTGTCCAAGCAATCTGCATTATTACTGTAATGCACACACATTGTTGATTTAAACTCTTTACCATTCTTTACAAATTTCCGTTACTTTATATGAGATTTGAAATTCTCACAGCAGTGAATGTTAAAATTTTTTTTCTTCTGTGCTGTGATGCTCTGTAGTGTGCTAGGGAGATATGAATGTTCTGAAGGAACCTGCTGGCATGATCTTCAGGCCTGGAGATGATGATTGCAATTCCTCTGAAACTTTGGTACATGTCTACCAGTTTTGACAGTAGCACATCCTAGAAAACCAAAGTCTTCCTTCATTTTATGATATTAATCATGTTTCTGGACTCACAGATCATTCTTAATTGATTGTGAAATTAAGACAATTAATGTTATGCTTTTTTGAATATATTCTTACATGTCTGCATAATGATATGAATAAAAGTTGATAAAATAAACGTGGAAAAATTGTACTAAAAATTACTCTGAGGAAGGCTAAAATTCGGGTCAGAGATTTTATTCAACTAACAGAAATTTCTGGGAAGAACTAATACCTTAATTTTCTTTGATACAACACAGATCATTTAGGAAATGAGATTCCAGCATATCTTCTGTTGTTGCATGTGTATTTGTTTCCTTGGGAACATGTTTTTTGAGCCATTTCTTGCAACCAAGCCATTATCTAGCAATGATAGGGCATTACACACACGGACACACAAGGAATGTGGGCTGACAGCAGAGGAACTTTTGGATGCAGCGTTTTCTCTGTGGTATGACCCAAAGTTATATATAGAGGATAGTCTTCTGCTGGGAATTGTGCTTAGCAGTTAGTTGTAGCATGCAGAAACCCAAGACTTGGAAGACCTAAATTCCGAGCCGTTGCGTATCAATGGCTGTCTCTGTGGGGCATTTCTGACGGCATTATTCCACCTTTCAGGCGTCATGTTACATGTGACTTATATGTTTATATGGTATTGTAAGGGCTGTCTCTTCTGGTTCCACTATTTCAACTATTAGGAGTTAAGTCAGATAAATGGAGACACAGACACACAGACATCAGGCTCATAACCCTCCTTTTATTTTGTTTAAATAAAGAAATGGTATGTTGATATATAATAATAAATTCTCTGAAATGACATATCTGGATGAACTGAGGAAAATATACAGCTTAGCCAGGATTTCAATGTGAGAGAATTCTTCTCTTCGCATCACCTATTCACTTATGTTTCATGTATGGTAAATCAAGGAGGATGAGATGGGAGAGGTGTGTAGCATGCATGTGAGACTCAGAATTACTGGACTTCTGGACTGTATCCATCGTTCAATATCCTAAAAAGCTAGAGAACACAACATTTCGGAAACTGGATCTGTTTCCATCCTCAGGAGAGGGGGGGAGGCACTCTCTTGGGTCCCTTAGAAAGAGCTAACCACAGTTACTTGAGGTTAGTTCTTTCTAAGAGACCCAACAGTATAGGTGTCTCCTCCCTCACCTGAGGACAGAAACAGATCCAGTTTCTGAAGTGCGATGTTCTCTTATTTTTTAGAATACTGAACAACTGACAAAGTCCAAAAACCTAATAATGCCAAGTGTTATACACCATTGCCAGAATCATTTAGAATGTACATGCATTTGAGAGATTAGAAATTAGTGCAGTATTTAGTCAGAATACCTGAAGGGGAATACAAAGGCATAGATGAGAAGTTAATATATTTATAGGTAAAAAGGTAAATCTATCCCTATAAGAGGCTGTGGAGGTCCAGAAGTTTGTGAGATGTTGAGGCTCCCACATTTTCTAGATAATTGGCTCATAGATGGTGGTAAGGCTGTCAGCCTTACATGCCAGCCACCCTTTACCCCCAGGAAGATTAAGATTCATTGTATTCATCTCTGTTAGTGGCTGAGTCGACCCAAGGGCTATAGTGCAACTGGAATGATTAAATCAATTGAAGAATCTAGTGACCTCATTGGGAATCAGACCTGTGACCTTCCTGCTTGTAGCATATTGCCTCAATCAAGTATGCTACCGCATGCCCCAATATGAATATAGGTCTTAAACAAATACTGTTTTGGGATGTGGGCTGGATTAATCTAGTCTTGAATAGGATCCAGTGGCAGGCTGTTATGGTTGAAATAGACTTTTTGGATGGGACTACAATGAGACAGTACATCAGCTATTTGTGGACTTCAAGAAAGCCTGTGATTCAGTTAGGAGGGAAGTATTGTGCAATATTCTGATAGAGTTTGGGGTACCCATGAAAGTAGTTAGGCCAATTAATATGTGTTTGAATGAAATGCATAGTAAAGTCTGTATAGGTAAATATTTGTTAGGAGGGAAGTATTGTGCAATATTCTGATAGAGTTTGGGGTACCCATGAAACTAGTTAGGCCAATTAATATGTGTTTGAATGAAAGTCTGTATAGGTAAATATTTGTCTGATAATTTTCCTATCCAGAGTTGTCTTATTGCCACTGCTTTTCAACTTTGCTTTAGAATATGCCATTAGGAAGGTCCAGGAAAACCAGGTGGGACTGAAATTAAATGGGACACATCAGCTCTTGGCCTATGCTGATGATGTGAATCTACTGGGTGATAATATAGATACCACAAAGAAAAACACACACTATAATCGGCACAAGTAAGGAGGTTGGTCTAGAACTAAATACAGAGAAAACTAAGTATATGTTGCTGTCCTGTCACCAAAATACAAGGAAAAATCATGACATAAAGATAGGTAACAGATGTTTTGAAATTGTGGCACAGTTCAGATATCTAGGAATTACAGTAATAAATTAAAACTTGATGCAGTAGGAAATTAAGCAGACTGAATTTGGGTAATGCTTGATGCAATTCAGTCCAGAACCTTTTGTCTTCTTGTCTGCTGTTCAAAAACATAAACATTAGAATATACAAACTATAATTTTGCCTGTGGTTCTATATGGCTGTGAAACCTGGTGTCTGACTTTAAGGGAGGAAAGTAGACTGAGGGTGTTTGAGAACAGAGTGCTGATTAGAATATTTGGACCAAAGATGGATGAAGTGACAGGAGTTTGGAGAAAACTGCATAATGAGGAGCTTCATAACTTGTACTCTTCTCCAAGTATAATTACAATGATTAAGTCAGAGAGACAGATATACAGGGCATGTAGCACAAATGGAGAAGAGGAATGCATATAGGATATTGGTGGGAAAGCGAGAGGGAAAGAGAAGACTAAGGTGTAAGTTGGTAGACAGTATTAAAATGGATCTTAGATAGGATCGGATGGTATGGATTGGTTTGCTCTGGCTCAGGATAGGTCCCAGTGGTGGGCTCTTCTGAACATGGTAATGAACCTTTGGGTTCCATAAAATGCTGGAAAGTTCTTGAGTAGCTGAGCAATTGGCAGCTTCTCAAGATGGGTTCAGCTCCATGAGTGAGTGAATGAATTCAGTTGTTGATATAATGAATTTATACTACAACAGCACCTTACCTTGAAAACTAGTGTAATCTATTATGAAATGTTACACTTTATGTACGGTGGTTCTTGTGAACGTGTTAATGATTATTCAGGTTCCATAAAATATGACATATCTAGAAAAGCTAAGCAGCTAGTAGGTTCTGTCTTCATACTAAATGTTATATGCCTAATTTCTTTATTTATTAGTGTTTAGTATCAAACTGAAAGCTAATGAAACATCTGCATGGCCAGATATTATTTACTTTCTAAAAAAATATTACTTTAACAAAACCTGGATATTTTTGGAGGTTTATTGTTATACATCACTTCAAGGCCTCAAATTAAGTATCACAAGTATCATCCCCATTTGCTCATCAGCCATGTTATTGTTACTGATTGTAGGAAATTAGAAAGTATGGTGTTAGGATGGTTTCCAATAGCATAACATCCATACAAAGTTTTCATAGAAATAGATAAGCTGGTTTGAAATTTGAAAAAGGGGCTACAGATAGCACAAGGATTTCATAAGCCTACAGTATTTTGTTTAAGAAAGGAAAGTACACAAAAGTAATACAAAATCTCTTAATATACTGACAGCTAGTTGTCTGAAAACCAGAGGCAAACTTCCTAAGTAGTGTGTAGGCCTCAGATAAGGGACAGTGGACC